CCAAAAGGTTTTTTGTTTGGACTTAGAAAAGGCCTATAACAGAGTGGACAGGGATAAGCTTTGGAAAATCTGAACTCATTTGGGTTGAGCGCTGGGTTGATACAGGCATTAAAGTCTCTGTATAGGGATTCTAGTGCTTGTGTTAGGATCAACGGGGTCTATTCGGACGGGTTTGGCATCCATAAAGGTGTCAGTCAGGGCTGTGTGGGTTCCCCGTGGCTTGTCAACCTATTTATGGACAGTTGTTTGAAATATTTGAAAGTTGAAGAATGCGGATTAAGAATGGGAGAGCTAACCGTCAAATGTCTTTTGTATGCCGATGGTCAAGTTATTCTTGCATCGTTAGCGGCCGAGTTGCATATGATGGTTACATTAATGAACAGATCATTAAAACAAAGGGTTATGAAAGTGAACGCAAGTAAGACGAAAGTTATGGTTTTTGAAATAGAAGAAAGTAAAACGATATATGACATAAGAATGGAAGGGGAGTTGATCGAGCAAGTAGATGAGTTTGTATATTTGGGATGCGTATTATGCAAGGATGGGAGATATGATAAGAATGTAGAACGACGAGTGAACGCAGGAAATTGAGTAAATGATGCTCTATACTCAATTGTGATAAATTAGAATGTGTCAAAAAAGGCACGTATGGCTATTCACAATGCTGTGTTGGTCCCTACTTTAACGTATGGTAGTGAAAGTTGGGTGTGGCAGAATAAGCACAAGAGTAGAATAAACGCAGTACAAATGCGGTCGTTAAGGGGTATGTTAAAGATGAATCTGACAGGGTGAGAAATTGTGTGATAAGAGAAGAGTGTGGTTTGCAAGATAATGTTGTGACCAGAATTAAGAAGGGAATGCTTCGGTGGTTCGGTCATGTGGAAAGAATGAATGAGGAAAAAGTGACAAAGCAAATTTATGTTGCAGAAGTGAACGACAGAGTTGAAAAAGGACGTGTTAAGGCGAAATTTTTTCGACCAAATTGGCGATATATTATTGAAAGCAGGCCAAACGAGTACCCTTAACCGACGAGCATGTATGCGTAGGTATATGGATCTGGAAGAGGCGAGAGAGGTGTGTCAGGATCGTGCCAAATGGAAGTCTGTATTTAAGCACGTAGAGAAAACTACCAGTCTGCATTAAGCGTTTCAAAATGCCTGCTACGCTATCCATATTTTATTGCTAATAATACAATGTGTTAATTTTACACTTGATCAAACGAAATGTGCGGATACTACATAAAAAAATTATCGGTAAAAAATCGAATTTTTTTTTTATGTAAACTATTTAAAAAATAAAAGCATTTTAATTTTTTTTTTTGGTAGAATTCCCATCCTGCGGTTTTAAATTATTTTCTCTTTAAGTAAACGGTGTATTTTTTCAAAGTAGTTTTATTTGTAAGTTAAGTTAGAAAGATTAACTAGCAATAAAAATTAAAAAAAACCTACGATATCAAGCAGGAAATTTGTCAAAAAGATAATAAGATAATTTTTTTTTGTTAAAAAATACTTTTCTTTTGAATTTTTGGTCTGTAATTTCAAAACTAGCACATTGAGGAAACTTTTTCAGCATGTTTTATTAAACTGCATGATTTACTCTACAAGTTCTCCAAAATAACATGGGTTCTATCTCTTGTCGTTGTTAAGATAATCACTAAAAATAAGGTAGGTAATCTGAGCACAAAATTCAAAAGTGATTTAATAATGATTTAATTGACAAAATTATGGAATAAAACAAAAAAACCGTAGAAAAATTATTTAATTTATTAAATTTTCAAAATGACCACCATTTTCATCCATACATACAGTTGCACGTAATGCCACACTACGTACTGTTTTTTTAATACAGTACGATTTTCTTTTATTTGACTAGCCGTAGCCATTATTTTTTGTAACAATTCTTCTCTTGTACTAATTGGAGTACTGTACACAACTTGTTTCATGTGGCCCCACAAAAAAAATCTAGGAGGGTCATATCAGGGCTTCGTGCCGGCCACGCTACTGGTCCGCCTCATCCAATCCATCTGTCTCCGTATCGTTCGTTTAAATAATCACGCACTATGGTGCTGAAGTGAGCTGGAGCGCCGTCATGTTGTAACCACATCCTGCTCCTTGTTTGTAGATCCACATCACTCATCAGGTCAGGTAACTCTTCTTGTAGAAATGTTAGGTAAGTTGGGCCTGTCAACCTTGACGGAAGAATAAATGGTCCGATTAAGTAATCACTTATTCCAGCCCAAACATTAATCGAAAATTCGATTTGAAAGGAACGAAGGCCGAACTGCTAAAGGATTTTTTCCTCCGGCATCCACAAGTGAAGGTTTCGATCTGGCTCGTGCAAATTCTGCACTCTTCGGAAATGAAAGGGGTACAAACATTCCTTTTTCAAAATTTTCCACACTTGGACGTGATTAATCCCCAATTGGAGTGCTATTCGTCGAGTACTAATTGTGGGGTCTTGGTACACCAACCGCAACACTTGTTCATCGACATCCACCGGTACAGTGGCAGCACGTTCACGATGTGGGCGATGCAGTCCATTTTCACTTAATTCTTGATGTACTGCTAAGAAAACCCTGTAGTCAACGGCAGGTCTTGTCAGGAATCGCTGATGATACTCTCGAGAGGTGGCGCGAACGTTGCCATCACAAAACCCGTAAATGTAATGAATGTCAGCTAATTCACGAGCAGACAATGAGTCTATCGAGTCTAGAAGGCATAACGACGAAAAAAATGGTGAGCGTATTCAACGTGCATATTAGGTAACGTTACGAGATGAACTGTTTAAAATAGCTAAAGCTGCCTGCATGCCTTACGAGAACGAGACCCAAATCTCATTCAAACGACAATTCACTCTCTCACTCACTTGTTTCGCCTGTCCTCGATCTATCTCTTTTTATCTTTACCTGCTATTGTTCGACCAGGGGTGTTCAAATTAGAGGTAGGTGCGGCGCATAAGCGCAAATCAACATACCGATGGTATTTTTTGATGATTATTATTTTAAAAACGAAAAGAGATAGAATGCATGTTATTTTGGAGAACTTGTACAGTAAGCTATGTAGTTTAATAAAACATGCTAAAAAGGTTATCTCAACGTACTAGTTTTGAAGTTACAGACCAAAAATTAAAAAGAAAAGTATTTTTTTAACAAAAAAATTATCTTATTATTTTTTGACAAATTTCCTGCTTGATATCGTAAGTTTTCTTAATTTTTTATTGCTAGTTAATCTTTCTAACTTTCAAATAAAACTACTTTGATAAAAATACACCGTTTACTTAAAGAGAAAATAATTTAAAACCGAAGGATGGTAATTTTACCAAAAAAAAAAAATTAAAATGCTTTTATTTTTTAAATAGCTTACATAAAAAAAATCGATTTTTACCGATAATTTTTTATCTAGTATCCGCACATTTCGTTTGATCAAGTGTAAAATTAACACATTGTATATTCCTTAATAGTTCAAAAAATTATACAACTGTTGCTCGGAGTAATTAAGAAATCAAAAACTTGCAAAATACCATCTTGTATTCCTCCGTGTCTTCCACATAGTACATTTTACTGTTGTTTTTTTGTTTACTGGACCAATTTTTTTAATAACAGTATTAAGAATGATTATATGTCTGTAATACAGTGGCGTAGCAAGGGCTGCCACCGCCTGAAGCAACTAGTTGTCATGAGCTTGATATTGTTAGTCATAGAGTATATAGTTACTATGTTTTATTGCGTACGTTAGTATTGTCTTTCAGCTTCAACGTTATAAGTTCTTCATAATACTGCGAAGGAGAAAAAATAATATTTATTTGTTTATTTAACATATTATATATGATAAAAAGGATATAATATGGTACAAAATAAGCTTAATGAAAAACTTTACCATGTACCACAGACCGCCGACATAATTTTTTTTTAAATATGAGCTACACCTTAATCTACAAAAATATGTTTAACGCAACACTATTAAAAACTAAACAGCAATTGGCACGGTCAACACGCGGTAAATCGGCAATACATACGTAGTAACCTCATAGTGAACAAGAAAGGTGTGAGTCTTGCCACCGCCCACTTCACTGCGTCAAAAACCGGTCGTTCCTGCGTTGCGTATACAGGGGGTATCAATTAGTTAGTTACTTAATATTTAATAGTAAACGAATATAATGATTATTCTTAGGTTGTATATCATATAGATGAATATAGGAAATATAGTTATTGGGGATTATAGTATTTAATTTTATTATTTTTTAAGTCTGAAGTCTGATATAACACAGTTCCTATAATAGTTTTTTAATTTGTGTTTAATATTTTTATGATTAATTTCATTTTGAAAAGATATATTGGTAAATGATTAATTAAATTCGGAACCATGTATTCTAAAGTATGTTTTCCGTATAAATTATTATAATTAGGTTTATCTAATTTTGGTTTGGCCGCACTGCGGGTTTTAGAATAATTAGTTAGTCATTAAAAATTCTTCATTTAAGAGAGTATATTCTATTTTTTTATGCACCGGTATAATTTTGCAGTAATCGAATAGGTTATGGTAATCAGAATCCCTGTGTAAGTTTTTAATTTGTTCTGGGACTACAGTTTTTAAGATGCGTAGTTGCAATGAATAAATGTTATCTAAATGTGATTTATAAGTTCGCCCAAAACTAGACAAGCCATACGAGCCAAATAAGAGGCATAGATCATAGACGTCTATGAAACAATGAAACATATATTCGTCTATGGCATAGATAAAGACGATTGTATAGGTAATAATAAAAAAAATCATAATTGGCTGCCTGGCCATAAATTCCTTTGTATATAAATGGTAAAAAGAATAATGTCAACGTTTAACGTCAAAGTCATACCGTCAAACGCATCAAACTTTCGCTTTGGAAAAGAAAACGGTTTTTGGTTGCGGTTTATATAGAAAAATGAATTTGTAAACTTATGAATAGTGTGTTTATTTAATTGAAAGTGTTGCGTTACTGGCTAATTATTTTCTTAGACAATAAACATGGAGCCAATGAATTTAGGGAGTCCAACTCATTCTCCTTCGGGGAGCCCGAATGTGGGGTATCTACCTCCCTTTCTTTTGGGTGAAATTAACCCTCCAACGACCCCGAGAACTAATAGCTTATCACCAACGAAAGGGCGAAGCCTTGCTTTTGGTGTGTATTAATAAAAATCCAGTTTGTATGTTCAATATGTATATTATATAGAAAGCAAGTTAATTTTTATAATTCTCATTTGTGTAAATGAATTTGCATTGTCTTTATGTGTCTTCTTACTTTACAAATGTCACGTAAAGTAGAATAACTTGAATGATAAATGACAATGAATGATGACCATTATCTTTTGCAGGGTCACCAACCAGTCCAAGTCAGACTTCAACGCCGGACCAAAAAATGTACCGTCCAAATGTGTCAATGCATCAACAAGCTCTGTATAACCAGCAAAATATGTTTACAAATATTCCAACTTCTCCCAATATATCTTATTCAAGTAAACCAAATGGTCCTCCAATAGAGGATCTTTTTGATACTATAAAGAGTAATGAACCAACAAATAAGTCTGTGTATCAAGATCAAAGTTTCTTTGGCTATGGGAACAATAATTCTTTGATGCAGAACTCTTATGTAAATGCATCGTTAAATAATCAGTCACTTACATCACACTGGCAAGATGGATGTCAAGACCAAGATGAGTACTGGGTCACTATATTTGGTTTTCCACCAAATGCAGCTAACACTGTGCTAGCTAGATTCAGCAATTGTGGTGCTATTTTAGGTAAGATTTTATATTAAACAAGAGAAACCTAGAATTAATAGTGCATCAGATGATAAGTGCCCACTACAGGCCATTGTTACCTGACCAACCAACTACAAACATAAAGTTTTAAATGTGATCCCCTGAGGATGTAGATCCTTACAACTTGTAATAGACCGGGAGCTGGTGACAGGTGACGTTCCACGATTTTGTCGTGCATGCCTTTTTAAGACTTGATAACTAACCCTAAAATATCAAAGATTGTCGGGGCTTTAGCCCCCCGCGTCCTCTTTCATAAGGAAAAGCACTTTTCTTTGTGTAGCGAATTTTTGTGTTTTTACATGATAGTATACTGCATGCCATTGTAATATATGGAAGTTCAAGCAAATTGAAGCTCTAATAATTGATGGCATGCACCCTGCAACATGGCGAAAGTTGCAAAAAACACTGTGCAAATTTAGGTGACTTGTTTTTGCATGCCATTTTGTATTTCATGAATTTACATTATTTCAAGTCATGAACGTAAATGGCATGCATGTAGCTATAGCCCAACATACCAAAATTGTGGAAAAATTGAATAAACAATTTTTCAATTGAAACAAAAAACAGATAAATGCTGTGACTTCTTCTTGCATGCCGCTTTGTATCGTGTTAGTAGATACTATTTTAAGCCGAAATGCGAAATGGCATGCATGTAGCTTCATGAAAATTGTTTAAATAAACAAAAAAACGAGGTTTAGTATTTTATAAGAGTGACATAAGTTATATATGAAATAAATATTAACAAAATTTATTTTAATATAATTATAGGATTATTGATAAGCTGCATTTTTCTCAATTTCAATCAATGTTGATAAAAATAATTTTTGGTGCGCATTTTCGAATTTGAAAACCCAGCAAATCTAAAAGTATTGTCGACCCACGACTACGCTACACCACTGCCTAAACATTTTTCGTCTCATTGTACATGTAGAAACGCAAGTGAGAACATGTAACAGAATCAATATTGAACTTAAAATTTCCAGTCTTCACAGTGTACTTAATAGTGAAAATTTATAAGATAGCCAGTACATGTTTACATGCCCTCTTCATCATACATTTCTGTCTAATCCGGTGTATTTTTGTAAGTACAGTAATATGTCACATGGCGTCAATCGACAATTGTGGCTTGTTTTGTTTGCAGGTTACGAAAGTATTGTTATTTTTAGTTTGCTTGTGTGGGTGTGTGCATGCGTGCGTGGGTGGGTGGGTGTGTGCGTATGTGTGTATGGGTATAAATGTTTTTACTCAATTTGATGTAAAATTATACGTTCCTAAGAAAGCGTGAAGTATATATATATATATATATATATTGCAACGGCCGAAAATTTGGAAATTTTCCATTCTAGGTCGCGTGATCATATTGATACGGAATTATAGTAAAATCGTTCCTTATACCACCAATACATATCCAACGCACGCATAGAACCACTCGCAAACAGCTGGACTCTTCGGAGCGTCTAGACCACGGTCGTATACACAGGTCCGGAAACTCTAGCGGCGGCAATGGTTCCCTTATTGAAGCAGCCTGCGCTTTGTAATTTAGCCACCAGATGTCGTCTCGATCAGATTTCGGTTTTCTATAAAGATATACTAAATGCATGTATAGTCCATGCGCCAGCTAATGGTTTTCGGTTTTAGTGAGTCCGACGTGATTTTGCAATTGAATAATATTCATTTCTGAATGATTAACAAGAATATCTTGGTGTTCACCTCCAAAAATGGTTGGTGAAGCAAGTACCTGCGACATTAGGGGCTGTAGCAATAAAAATTTTGAATTACGTCATTATGACAAATCCTTCTGCTAAGGAAATTTATCTGATTTTTGATGAATACCAGTAGGGCTATTCACAATGCGTCGGAATGATTTCTCTCGGAAACGGAAAAGTTTCGTTCGACAAGTTTTTGATGTCACAGACTTTGGTATTCACATCTCTTCTCGTTTAGGATTCGACACTGAAAGCTTTTCGAATATCAGTGGGAATGCATTATAGATTGTCTATGCGTCGGAAGTGACCTCCGTCCCTCATACAATTTTGTAATGTTTATAAAGTAAGATAGTCGAAAATAGCACTAAACTATATAAAACGTTAAAGTCTTCAAATATGTTTTATTTTTAATACAAATATTGTAAATTGATCAAAATTTTCGATAAAATAATATTACTTTTAATATACTTTTATCTATATTTTAATAATTGAAAATTAATCTTTTTATTATCATACTTCGTAAATGCTATTTTATTGTCATTGCGTTTCGGAGCAAAATACTCTTATTAGTTTGTGGTTGTCACTAAATTGAACTATTTTTGTGTGATTTAAATAAAATAATAATGGAAATTCCTGTGGTGAGTGGAGCTATTCAAGTTATTTAATTGTTACATCTTGATTTCTTTGATTTTAGTACCTAATAAGTTTGTTGATTATTAAAATATATTCATACTTCTGTGAGCAAAGAAATTTAAAAAAAAACGATTGCAAATGTATATTAAAAGTTTTACCTATTTAGTCTAGTCTTCATATTGAAACTAATTTTGGATATATTTTTTTGTATTTCAGCAAAAAAGATCATGTGTTTCCTACGAGCAGTGTGAAAAATTGTTTGAATTCATGGTGGCGCATCCCAATTTTGCCAGAAATCGGGTTGCAGGCGCAGATGCTGCCCGTAGGAAAATAAAACTGCAGACTGAACTAGCCACAATTTTAAACAGCTGTGCCACAGGAGCAACAAAAAGCTCCGATAAATGGATAAAGGTATGTCTGTGTTTAGGTGCTACAAATTCTATACATATTGTAGTGCTAGTCTAGTGAATCGCTTAAAGCCAACTTTGTTATGTATGCCTACAAATGTACATTATAACCTTTATTAATACAAATATTTGATAGTGTTGGCAAGACTGGCGCAGCGATGTCAAATCTAAAGCTGCCAAAATCCGCCGTGCTCAGCAGCAGACTGGTGGAGAGCCTGGACCTGCACCCTTATCTGCCATGGAGGAATCTCTAATGGCATTTATTGGCCACGAAGCAGCAGAGGGCCATTCCGTTGCCGATACCTTAGAGGTACTACAAATTCATATTTAATTTTTAGGATTCAATACTTCATGCTTCCTTTCAATTTCATAAAAAAAATGGAGCTTTGTAGTGTAACTTGTATTTGTACCAAACAACAAATATTTATTACAAAAATTAATAAGTTGCTATATTATATAAATGTATGTTCATAGTTATTCAAAATTTACTATTAAATATCTAGCACTAGAATAAACTCATTCTAAAGAAATGTGCATCTACATATTCTTGTGTATATACAACTGATAGAGATCCCTAACCCCATTTATTAGTGAGAGAAGTAGGAAGGATATTATACAGTTTAATTTCGTTTTGTCTTTACAGATTCCTGAAGGTGACGCAGAAGTAGAAGCTGGTGATGACGAAGATGTCCACAATCCGGTTGTGGATGATAGAAAAACAACGAAAAAACGTAATTACATATATTGATTACTTTTTATTGTTTAGTTATTATTTCATGTCTTAATATGTTGTATGTTGTTGTAGAAGATAGACTTGAAGAGTGTCTAGAAGTTCAGGCTGCAGCCATGAATACGCTCCCACAGTTAATGAATAATTTGGCTGCAGCCATAAATAATTTTGCTGCAGCCCTCAAATCCATGGCCAATAAAAGTGATGAATGAAGTTTAATCTAAGGTAGATCAATATAGTTAAATAATTTTGATTAGTATGAATTATTTAAGTTTAATTAAAAGAATAAAAGATAATAAACAAATAATTATTTATAAATTGTTATTAATAAAATAATCTTTCTATTAATTGTTGTCGCACTTGAAGGCCCCGCTCATATATGTATCTCTCTATAATGATCTGCTGTACTCGCGTCTGGTGCTAAAGCTTCTTCATCAACTATGTCGGGAAAACTAAGTCCTGCTGTTATGCACACATTGTGTAAAACTGCACATGCATTTACAATGCAGCCTACTTTTGTTGGTTCATACTCCATTTTGCTTAGTAAGCGTCGAAACCTTGACTTAAGAACACCGAAACACCTCTCAATACTGTTCCTTGACCTTATATGGGTATTGGTATATCGACTTTGAGGTGTGTTTTCTTCAGCATTAAGGATCGGTGTGAGGAGCCGTGGCTCCAAGGGATATCCGGAATCACCTGTAATTCAAATAAACAACTAGAACATTACAAATACTGTTTTAATTGAGATTATTTGTTTCAGACTTATCGAAAATATTGTTTATTGCAATACCTAGAAGCCAACAAGTATTGCCTTCACCATTAAGGTTCATCATCACCTTTTGTAGTGCACTAAACCTCCATATAAAGGAATCGTGTGTTGCACCAGGATATCGTGCACACACATTTAATATTTTTAAGGAACTGTCACAAACCTATGAAAAGCGAATTAAATTAGTACACAGTTTAGGTCGGTTGCATAATTAATGTACAGAAGTCTAATGATCTTATTATTAAAATTCAAAACCAATGTCCTGAATTTTTGTAAGGTATTTGTACTTAAATATAAATGACACAGTTCGGAGGGATCAACAAAACAGAGTGTAGCCATGTGGTGGAATCTAATGTATTTACCATTTGTGCATTAAGGGTGTGTTCACCCTTTCTATTTACATAAAGTTCTTCATGTTGTGTTGGCTTCTTAAGTTTTATATGTGTGCCATCAATATAGCCCAATACTTCAGGAATTCCGAATTTTTGGTAATTTCTGCAAATGAAAATAAGACTGATTGTGATACTAGCTTCTTAGACATTCGAAGGATAAAACTATGTGTGTCAAGGTAATTAGGTTCCTACTTAGAAGATAATTGTTATTTCTTATTTTTTTTAAATGATTATAGTTATAGTTTTTAAAATTTTGATAATTTGTTGTAATTTCTTATTTAAATGTTGACATGTTAAAATAATAAACCATTTATGTAATATGAAAGTATTTATTATTTATGAAGTTTTCTGATAAACTACTTGTAAACATATTTATGTCCCACCGCTACTTATGTGCACAACCCTCTCATAAGGGGTCTAGCCTTATATCTCACTCTGCTTTGGGTATTTTAGGAAGATGGCACATACTGCTGCTGTCTGTAACCTGGTCAGTCCCTTAGTTGCCTACTGAATGAAAACCACATGGATTACTTCGAGATGGTAGCAGGTTTATTATGTGGTTTTCTATGCTGCAGCTACGTTATAGTTGTAGCATGAATGGGTCGGCTCGACCAGGGCAGGACCACACTCATAGAATACCAGCATAATGCTGTTGTGTTTTGTATGGTGAGTGTAGAAAATTGGAGACGCTTTTTACTGGAATTAAGGCATTACAACTTAGTCCTCAGCGGTGACAACACATTTACATTTTGATACTTAATTGAGAATAAATGTGGATGTCTATGAGCCACGGAATCCACTTACCATTACATAGACTGTGTGCTCGTTTGTCACCCAATACAATTGAAATAAAGGTACCTAATTTAAATTTGCATCGGGAAAGATCACCATAATTTTTGAATTTTAGTTTCTTATTGATACATATATTATGCTTGATAATACCTATCTACAGATTCATATGAATAAGTATGCTATAGGTACCTATGTCATTTAAATTTTGAGATTTACCTTAAAACAGTTGCTTCCATTTGAGGACGATTTGGAAATTTAATCCATTTTTTGGTAATTTGAGGCTGATTTAGTGCGGCCACTGCCTCTCTAATGGCTCTGCTGGAAGTAGGCTGGCTTACTTTGAAGTCCACATCCTTTGTTAAACTTTTTTGATAGAAGCCATGTGCGAAAAAATGTAACGCACAGAGGAATTAAGTACAAAAAGAGAATTAAAATAAGTAACAACTTAGGTACGGTACTGAGTTTACTATCTAGATACCTATTTACATTTAGTTCTACAGGAAGTGAGCTTGATTATTGATGTTGTTGCCAAACAGGCTTTAAATCGTTCACAACAGCCAAGGCCAAGTCCGGGGTGAGTCGGTAAGTCGAATGGAAGTTTGGGTCCTCATACGAATTCGACAAATCGCGAAACCGTTTGTTTCGGATCATTGTTTGCATCCGTAGCTTCTATTTTTCGTGGTTGCGGACTCGCCTATGAAAAATTAATGCTACTATGCCTGACATTGCTTATATCTGTAAAATTAGTGATAGAAAACTTTAAAAACACACCTTTCTTCCAAATATTCACAAAAATACAGTTTTGCAAATTAAGTGCAAATATTGAAATAATTATATGAAAATATGTTTTATACATAATTACAATTAATTTATGTTACGTACCTTATACTTAGAAAAGCTTATTTATCTCTTATAATTATAAATATTTAAGTTTTCGCCAGCCTCAGGGGTCTCGTAAAGTTTCCGATGCGAACTGTCACAATTCCCGAAAACGAATGTCAAATTCATCCGAACGGCGAATGTGAATAGCGTTTCATTGTTTCCGTTCGAAAAGTTATCGAATCCGAGTCGATTTCCCTTTCCGAGACGATTGTGAATAGCCCTACAGAGCCCATACATCAAAGACAATGAACATCTCTTAAGAGATAATTTCACTGCGAAGTATGATTTCAAAGGTAAATGTATAAAAATATTAATAGAGTTTAATTAAATTTTAATTAATTTTATTGTAATGAAGCTAATATTTTTATTAGGTGCAGATAAGAAGCGACCACCTGATTTCGCAGCAGAATTAAAAAATATAAATTTCAAGAAATCCTTCATCCCCTTTATCATGGACTATTGGGCGTCAGAACCATCAGTGACGGATATAATAGGAGATAAGCAACTATATTTTTTTGAGAGATGTTGTAAAGTAGATGACACTTGTTTGCGAGGTAATGCCCAATTTAAAATGCGAAGGCCACGAGGAAGCAGGCACAAAAATGGCGCTTTTCCTGTGTCAACTTAAAGAAGAAAAAGAAGTAGTGATCAAATGCTCTGACACGGATATCCTCGTCATCGTCCTTGCAAACATGGAAAAACTACCAGCGTCACTGAAGGTTTGGACATTATTTGGCGTCGGAAACAATCGTCGTTACATTAACATGAATAAAGTGTGTGACGTACTGGGAAGCAAAAAATGCTCAGGCTTACCGGCTTTCCATGCCTTAACCGGGTGCGATTTCAACCCTGCATTTTACCGCAAGGGAAAAAGGAAACCGTGGGAACTGTATTCTGCCAAGGAAGATTTCCAAGAAGCTTTCATCGCATTGCAAAGCCCAGATAGCGACAATTACGAAAGTGCATTTACCACGCTGGAGGACTTTGTCTGCAAAATGTACGCAACAGCGGAAAATGGCCTCAGAAAATGCTCTAATGTAGACGAGGCTCGTCTACGAATATTTACGCAAACATATACAAACAAAATAGAGCCCACAGACGAGTTCAAGCAAAAGTTGATGAATTTCGATGCTTGCATATTACCACCTTGTAAACGTGAACTCCAACAACAACTTCTTCGAGCAGCGTACATTGGACATATGTGGAAAAATTCTTTTTCTCCAGTGCCCAACGATTCATTGAATGTAGAGGAATTCGGCTGGAAACTGGAAAATAAAAGCTATTCCTTCCGGTGGTTCGAGGGTGATGACATTCCTCCTAATGTATAGGAAATTATTGAAGGTACTTATTTCTTTCTACTCATGCTTTTATTTTTTCACATTGGAGGTCATTATTCTACTAGAAATTTCATTACTGTATGATCAGTTGTTTTTCACTTATGTTTAACAAATACGTAAAATCAGAGTGATAACTGAAAAACATGTTTTTCTTTAATTTTCATAGCCCCAAAAGAAAGCGGCGCTAATGAAGAGGAAGTCATATCGATGTATCCAAATTTTGATGATGAAGAGGATGACGAATCGAATAATGACGATGACAGCGATTGCCAATCCGATATTGGCTACACAACGGAAGAAGAGTCCGTACATAGCCGCGATGATGATGATGATAATGATAATGATAATGTCGATAATGATGATGAAGCGGTTGATGATAATGATAATTAATAATACTTCACGTTTAAAATAATGATGCTGCTAATAATTTTTTACTTTCATTTTTCATAAAAAATTTAGATTTTTTTTTAATAAAATCGGACCATTTTTTTATTTATTTAATCAATTGTCATAAAGCTACACGCATACCACTCTGCATTTCAACTTGAAATAGTATCTACTAACAAAATACAAAGCGGCATGCAATAAGAAGTCACGGCATTTTTCAGATTTTTTTTCAATTGAAAAATTGATGTTTATTCAATTTTTTCACAATTTTGGTATGTTGGGCTGTAGCTACATGCATGCCATTTACGTTCATGACTTGAAATAATGTAAATTCATGAAATACAGAACGGCATGCAAAAACAAGTCACCTAAATTTGCACTATCTTTTTTGCAACTTTTATTATTTATAATACGATAGGCTTATTCAACATGCATGCCATTTGAATTAGATAATTATTTCGTTATAAAATTAATATTCATTAGGAGTAATTTGGAATCACGGAAAAGGAGTTCAATTTTTACAGAGTTTTCTGGAAATTTTCCACCGTTGGTCATACGAGGGGTGCATGCCAATTTTTCCAGAGTGTTTTTATTACAAAAATTTCCATTCTTTACATCTGAATGCAATTTGAAAACACGGAATTGCCCTTTAATTTTTTTCAGGTTTTCAGAACCCTTTGATCATCTTGGGCCGCTGCGGAGTGCATGCCATCAATTATTAGAGCTTCAATTTGCTTGAACTTCCGTATATTACAATGGCATGCATTGTACACACAGTATACTATCACGTAAAAACACGAAAATTCGCTACACAAAGAAAAGCGCTTTTCCTTATGAAGAGGACGCGCGGGGGGGGGGGGCTAAAGCCACGACAATCTTTGATATTTTAGGGTTAGTTATCAAGCCTTAAAAAGGCATGCACGACAAAATCGTGAAACGTCACCTATCACCAGCTCCCGGTCTATAATAATAGGTGGCCACTAACTGATAATACTGGCTCTCATATGTTGTCAATTAGAAAATAATAATAGTTGCATATATTTATTATTTATTTACATATAGTTATGCCAACCCAGACAGACTTCTAGACAAAGATTCCCTGAAACGAATGGGCTTATTGCAGTATTTTAATTCCCAATTTACTATATTAAGCTGGAGGGTGAAATATAACTAAAAATCTAAGAAATAAAAAACAATTCATATTTGTATTAATCCCTGAATTCTCACAGGAGTATGTTGAAAAAGTATATTCTTCATTATGGTGACATCAGGTGACCTGGACCTAGCAACAGAATGTTTAATTAAAAGAATGTTAAAATTTTGATCTCTCACGTCTACGTTTGAGATTGCTTTCAATCGAAAAAATATCTGATTCCATTTGCCAGCCTGAGTATTTTGTCTGCTTTTAAAATCTACACTTCTACACTAATATTATAAAGAGGAAAGATTTGTTTGTTTGAATTGAATAGGCTTCAAAACTACTGGATTGATTAGAAAAATTCTTTCACCATGGGAATGCTACGTTGAACTTGATGAAATTAAAATATGCAAAAATAATGCTGAAAAATCCTTATATCATGTACGTTGCGGAAACTATTGACAATAGAGCAAAGTGATTTACTACTGTTTTATAGAAAATATCAATATCTACAAAAAAGTCAGTCATACCATATATGTCTAACTATTAAAATTGTCACATAATAAATTTCACATGAATGAAGTTGCGGGGATCAGCTAGTGAATAATTAATAAGCAGCCATCTAGGAGATCCTAGTAGTAGCTCAGATTGTTAGCACTTGCTGTAAATTTCACAGTATGCAAGCAAACCGGATTCGATCCCCACCGTTATCATTGAAATTGTGAATTGCAATGTTTTAAGTACCGATTTATCACATGCTCGGCGATGAAGAAAAACATTGCATGGCAGAAAAATATGAATTTTTTTTTGAAGACGTGAAGTTTGCCAAGAAGCATTGAGGCAGCGCGGCATACACATCCTTACCCTAGAAACTCTCATAAATGAGGGGAGGCCTATGCAGCGTTTCGCCTGGTGAGTGCAGGTGGCCAGAGACCCAATCCCCCCCCCCCCCTTAACATGGTAGCGGAATTAAGTGAAGAACTACCCCGGGAGGGTACCAGCGCCCCTGGTGACGTAGAATCCCTCACTGAGCATCCATGACCAAGTTATCCTACTCCTCCTGAGCGTGTGTGCTCAGGCTGCCCGCTTATTCTTAAGGGGGGTGGGGAGGGTGCAATTCCGCTCTTGGCAAGCTGAGTAACAACACCAAGGCGACCCTTGCCATGCGACGGCGAAGCTGGCCTTGCTCTTTTTAACCGGGACTCAGGTGTCCTCTCCAAATTAGAACATTCCTTTGTACCCGAGGCTGGAGTTTGTGTATATGTCAGAGAGGACATCTGTTATCGATGCCTCGGCAGTCTTGAAGATACGAACCTGTCCATCCTGTGGCTGCGCGTAGACAGCGACGACCATCTCCGCATCTACGGGTGCCTATATAGGTCCCATAGCGGTAATACCATAAAAGACCGACTCATTGACCACGTCCAAATGGCTACAAATTCCGTGCTACAGCAGATCCATCCGCAGAGATGATCCTTGGCGTTTTTACCGCCCACGACGTCGAATGGAGCATCAAGGTAGTAGTAGACTGTGCATGCTCTGATTACAAGCCCATTAACGTTGATGTTCCATAAGGCTGCGTGCTATCACCAACGCTGTTTTTTCTGCATATCAATGATATGTTGCAAACTGGTAACATTCACTGCTATGCAGACGACAGCGCTGGTAATAGCACGCAGCCTTGTGGAACACCAGCGTTAATAGGCTTGTAATCAGAGCATGCACTGTCTACTACGACCTTGATGCCAATATGCCAATATTTCTCGGGAAATCGTCGCCGAGTACGGGGACAAACTTGTGTCTGAAGTCAAGTCTTTGCTTAACAATGTCTCAGATTGGAGGCGATTAAATCTAATCCAATTCAATCCCCAGAAGACACAAGTTTGTGCTTGGACCGCTAAAAATAAATAAAAATCGTCGTATCTTCTCAGTTCGCTCGTCGGCACAACGCTTGCAACTTTACAAAGCGCAAGTTCGGGGTCACATGTAATACTGTTCTCACATCTGGGCCGGGCACCCCAGTGACCGCATCCATCCATCCGCGTGCAGTGCGATTCAAGTCGTCGACGACCGAGTTCTTTCTGATTGGCTCGATTCACTGGCGCTGCGTAGGGATGTTGCATCCCTTTGGTTGCGTTTTCTATCGTATCTACCATGGGGAGTGTTCTGAGGAATTGTTCGGATTAGTTTCAGCCGCCAAATTTCACGAACACGAGCACGTCGCGTCAACATTCACCATCCTCACCATATGGGTGCTTGGCGGTCCACCACTGAGCGTTTTACTGGGAGTTTTCTTTGTCGTGTAACTTCTATGTGGAATTGCTTACCAACGGCGAATTTTCCGGACCGATACGACTTTGGGACCTTCAAGAAAAGAATTTACTCCTTTCTAAAAGGACGTTAACGCACCCGCGATTCCCCTGGTGTCGCTGTTGTTCATGTGCGGCGGTAGTTACTTACTATCAGGTGAGCCGCATACTCGTTTGCGTTAAAAAACATTTACTACATGTTATCAGAAAGTAGCTGCTACCTATCACCTGATTTGTTTCCCTCTGCTGCCTTTTACAACACCCATGGGGTAAAATGCTGGTAAATGGGGTAAAATGGTGGGGTAGTAGAAATTCTTACATTGCTACAATACTGTAAAATCTAGTAAATTTTTGATTTAAGCTTGGCAACATTGTAGTTAGGTACAAAATATTAGAGAGAATGGAAGGAAAAAACACAACTGAAGTAAAAATTTTACCAAAAATATATATATTTTTTTGATTTATTAAAGAACCACAAACAAGTTTACAATATGTCTTATGCTAAAGCTTATGTTCTATTACAATTTCTTACTTATTATAAACTCAACGACAGTATTTGTTAATAGATAAGCAGTATCCCACACAAGGGAATTGGGCCCATGTTCGGTACGCAACTAGAGCAGAAAAGGAGCGAGCAATGGCGTTAAATGGCCGACAAATTCTACCTGGAGTCATGGTTGGCGTAGTTGAATGCAAGGACCCGCCCAGAATGACTGTATCTAATCCTGGAATAGCCTCACCCGAAAGGTAATTGCTGTTTTCAACAAAGAACAATAATTGATGAAACTAATTTTTTGACATGTTAGAGCCACACTGCCCAATAGCTGCCGTATGAATAGGTTGACTCGGTCGGGAAAGAACCACTCTCGCACAGAATATTATTTAGTATGTTTATGATAATGGGTCGTGATAGGTATCAATAATTCTTCAAATATTTTTTTTAAATAGAATATGTGAGCATTATTTTTGTTATTATTATTACAAATTTAAACTGCAAGTGCAAGATTCTTTTATACTGTTTAGTAGTTTTTTTTACTATAGTAAATCTTTTCTCTTCAATACACCCATTTTTATATATTTCTTTTAAAACTGAATCAGTGCCATAAAAATTACTTTTAATCTATCGTTTTAAATTTTCGCATGAAAACGCTAGCCGCCATGCTGTTCAAATCGTGACGTCACTGTCCTCGATTTTGCAAAGGAATAAAATACATTTTAATGTTTAATAATAAGTTATCATCTAATTGAAAGGGAAGTCAGGGTGGTCTGGTATTTCCTCTGGATCCATACTCGACTTTAATTATACGTGGGTAATCGGACAAGGAGAATTAAACGACGTATTCACACTAAATATTATTAGGGTATTACAAAAAAAAATATGAGAGACACTGATTTGTTAAACACTCCATCAAGAACGTAATGCTTATTTGCGATGTGAACCGATTGCCGTCTCGATGCGAACTGCCGCGTCGTCCCTCCTCCTTCTCACACTAGTCCTTGGTGTTGCGTCAGAGTGAATGACAACCGATTACTTCGACATATGGCGTTCAGTTATCATCTCATATGACAACGTGGACAGGACAACTGACTCTTTCTTTGCATGTCATCTCATATGACGACACCTCAGACCGTTTAATAGTATCAATTAATTCTCATAACTGACATTACTTATGATAAAGTTCCTCGCGTTCTGATGCTGAGAGGGTTACTGAGCTTGCAGTTTCAGTATGACCGCTGGACACCGATATTGTGTCACTATCATCATCTGATGATGGTGACCTATCAACGTGGCTCTGCCCCGCCGTCACGAGCTCCTCCTCATCATTATTACTTAACGAGGTAGCTAACTCTACTAGACAGTCATAACCCCCGGGTACTAAACGAAGATTTTTGTGAGCATATTTGTAAGTCCTATTAGACCCATCAATCTTTTTCAGCTCATACCTATCATTTTCTAACACCTTAGTAATTAAAAATGGACCTTTGAATTATTTTTTGAGGTTTTGTCTGATTGCGCTCGTTGTTTCTTATAAAAACATACACGCCTATGGGGAAAGGCTTCACGATTGCCTTGCCTCGATTGAACCGTTCTACTTCTGCTGAAGATGCTTTCGCAATGTTGTCAGCAGCGTTACGTCTGATGTTGTCTAAGTCTGATCGGGGTTCGGGTTCGGTACTTAATACAATTTTTGACATACCTAAGGATAGAGCTTTTATCCCAAATGTGCGATGGTGAAATTGTGCGGCTGGAATTAGTCCGAACAATTCCTCAGAGCACTCCCCGGGGTAGATGCGATAAAATACGCAAAGAGATGCAACATCTCTTAGCAGTGCCAGTGAGTCAAGCCGATCGGAAAGAGCTCGGTCCCCGACGATTCGAACAGCTCTGCGCTGGGTGCGATCAAATTGAAGGAGCTGGCACTGGGGAGCCCCGGCCCAGAGATGGTAATAGTATTCCATGTGCGGCCGAACCTGCGCCTTGTAAAGTTGCAGGCGGTGAGGCGGCATGAAATACTGTCCCGCTCTGCTGAGCACGCCAAGCTTTTTAGAGGTTAATTTGGACTTCTCTTCCGAGTGACCACGAAACAGCACGTCACTCGATATGTCGACGCCGAGGATTCCAATTCTGGCTGAGGCAACAAGAGGAGTGCTTTGAAACTGAGGAGATACGACGAAGGGGTTTTTTTTAGCGAAGCAAACTTGTGTCTTCTGGGGATTAAACTGGACTAGATTTAGTCGCCCCCAGTCCGAGACTTTGTTCAACAAAGTTTTGACTTCAGACATAAGTTTGTCTCGGTGCTCTGCGACGTTTTACCGAGAAATATATGGCACGGCCGGTGTATAAAGCATCACCAGTGCTGTCGTCTGCATAGCAATGAATGTTACCGGTTTCCAACATGTCACAACACAACAAAGGAAAAGGAACACCAGCTTTAATGTGCTAGTAATCGAGGCATGCACCGTCTACTACAACCTTGATGCTCCTATCAGCAAGAAAACTGGTGATCCAATTGCAAAATTTCTCGGGGAGCCCATAGGAAGGAAGCTTCGTAAGAAGCGCTTTGTGCCAAACCCGATCGAAGGCCTTCGCTTTGTCCAAACTAACGGCCAACGGGAGGCTTGGACTCTACTGCCTCCGCCCATTTATGAGTTAGGTAACCCAGAAGATCACCAGCCGAGCGACCGCAACGGAAACCGTACTGGTGGTCAATAATCAGCATCAGTGATCTTCAAGGTACCGCATGAGCTGGCTGTTAATAATGGATTCCATTATTTTAGAGAACAAGGAGGTGATGGCGATAGGCCTATAGTTGGGCGGATCAGAGCGGTTACATGTTTTAAGGATCGGGTGCACGAGGGCTGTCTTCCATGATTTCGGGATTACGCCGAAGGAGTAGGGAGTACCGGAAAAGACGCGGTAAAACCGGTGCCAACTCTGGAGCACACGTCTTCAGCACAATAGGAGGGACGCCATCCGGCCCACTTCACTTGTTGACGTCCAGGGAGAGGAGTGCTCTGCGCACTGAGCGTTGGGTGAACAGAACATCCTGCATGGAACACTTACTCCGCGGGATGGTCGGCGGTGTGTTCTCCCGTCATCAAGAGTCGAGATGGACGCAGAGAGCCCAGCGGATCGGCTCTGTCCTTTGCGGCATGGGCCAGTGAGTCGTCCTCCCTGTGCAGAGATGGGAGAGATGGCTGACAGAAGTTCCCTTGGACAGCCTTGGCCAATCGCCAATTCTGCCGATGTGCTCTGACTTTGCCTTGACAATGACACTCTTGAAGGACCTGGAGGCAGAATTGTACTTCTTTTTAGGGGCGCTGGTATTTGCATCCCGAGACGTCGATGCGCGAGCCCAGGCCTGGTAGCACTCCTGCTTATGACGTAGTGCAATTTTGCAGGAGCGACCAAACCAAGGCTGGGTTCTGCCTCCGATAGGTACCACAGATGATGGAATAAAAAGTTCCATTCCCTGTAGCATCACATCAGCAATAAAATCAGCAACAACGCTGGGATCATCCGGCGAGAAGCATACCCAAATGCAAAAAAAGATCGTATCTCGTCCCAGTCTGCTGACCTATAATGCCAAACACGGCGGCAACGTGCAGTACGCAACCGCGATGACAGCGTGAGTGGCACCGTACTCCGGATGAGACAATAATCTGAGGAGCCAAGTGGGGCATTGACGTAGACCTTATATCCGTCCGGATGAGAGGTCAGCAGAAGGTTCAGCAGGGAAGGTACATGATCTTCCACATCTGGGATCCGCGTAGGCGAGGTAACCAGATGTGTCAGACCATATGCCAAAGCAAGGTAATAAACAGATCTACCCGCATGATCGGTTAAACGAGAACCAAGCCATTCAGCGTGGTGGGCGTTAAAATCTCTCAAGTATCACGATCTCTGCGAATGGGATCTGTTGTAGCACGGAGTCTGTAGCCATCTGGACGTGGTCGATGAGTCGGTCCGTTTCGGCATTACCGCTATGGCATCTATAGAGGTAACCCGTAGACGCGGAGATGGTCGTCGCTGTCTACGCGCAGCCACAGGATGGACAGGTCCATATCTTCAAGACTGCCGAGGCATCGAAAAAAGATGTCCTCTCTGACATACACGCGAACTCCTGCCCGGCGCACAAAATTTGTACCATCTAATTTGTACCATGGGTAGGAGAGATTTGTAGTATCACCTGGAGAGGACACCTGAGTCTCGGTTAGAAAAAGCAAGGCCGGCTTCGCCAGATGGACCACTACGGACGGCGTTAAGGTTTGAATGAAGTCCCCTAATGTTGCAGAAACTCACGGATATTGTGGCAGGGGGCGCCTTTGACTTATTGCTCTGTTTGCCCCGAGCAGGTTTAGTCTCGAGCGGAATTTTGGCCCCCCCCCCCCAGAATACGCGGGGCAGCCTGAGGGATTCTCCAGGGGTGCTGGTACCCTCCTGGGGTAGTCTTGCATTTAATTACGCTACCATGTTGATGATGTAGAGGACCTCCGGCCTTCTGCACTCACCAGATGAAACGCAGAAGCAAAGCCTCTACTTCACGCTGGTCTTCTGTGAGGTCGTCCTGGTACCACCCCGGCTTGAGCCGGCCCATGCGTGCAACAGCAAAGGCTGCCGCGTGGCTCTACCACTGTTACTATTTAACTGACACGTTATATTTAACTGTCGTTTAATACAAAACAAAACATGAGGTGAAGGGTATCGCAAGTCAAATTTTGTAATAAATTACATGGTATTGTTTTTGTATAAACAAAAATTGGTAGTAATAATTGTAATTATAGATAAAGTAAACTATGATAGCTACTAAACTATGTTTTATCAAAATGCACTCTGACCTGGTATTGTGTTTTTGTTTAAACAAAAGTTGGTAATAGGTACTTACACTGATGTTTTAACATTCCTCAACCCAGCAGAACCAAACGTGAGATTGCATGCAAAATTTTTGCCACCATCAATTTATTTATCCTTGGTAGATTAGTACTTTCTGCTTTTACGAATTCGTCTTCCATGATGTCTTTTCAATAAAATTCCAAATAAAACTCAATAACCGTAATGATAACTTGGAAAATTTCAAAATAACACTGTCCCTTAGCTAGTTCTCTTAATCAGTGACACAGAACACTTAGGCGGCATCGGTGACGTCACGATATTGTCTAATATGGTGGACAGCGTTTTGCATATTTGAGGCACTGACGAAAAAAATATTCTAAAAATTGAAATATAAAATTTATAATGCAATTATATATAAACAGAAATCAATATTTCTCGTTTACTTTTTACAAAATCATAAATATATATTTTTTTATTTTATTCTACATGGTGTAAAATACCCTATTTGTTACTTGTTTCTACTTTATGCTAATATTTGGTGTACGGTATTGAATGTACATATACTACATTTAGATATATTAGTAGCAAAGTTGTAGCACGAATGTGTCGGGCCGACCCAGACTTTCACAGTATACCAGCATAAAATACTAGCTTAATGCTGCTGTGCTTCTAATGGTGAGTGTAGAGAACTGGAGACCCTTTTTACTAAAAATGAGGCATTCCATCTTAGTCCTCACGGGTGACAATGCATCTGCATTTTGATTCGTAATCGAGGATAGATGTAAATGTCCATGGGCCATAGCAACCACTTACTATCAGGTGGACTTTCTGCTCATTTGTCACCCGTTTTTTACAAAAACAAAAAAAGCTATACTATTTTTTTGATAATAATTTTATAAATACCTTTGTACATTTGTTTACAATCTGTATCTTAAGGTATTTAGTCTAGTATGTTTATGCGCAGTTTTTGAAAGACAGCTTTCTCCATAGTTTGCCTCATGGAGGTTAGAGAACAGGAGAACGATCGCTACGTGCTAAAACATAGCCTACCTGTCTCTGAAAATTTGTCGAATTTATAGCCGCGCTGCCGTCGGTAAGTAGACAATACTTGCGAAGTGATTTTTTAATTTTGGTCAAAAAGTAACATTAAAAAATGGTGAAATATTATAAAAATAATAATTATAATAAATTAATAAATAAATTTATATTAGTAATAATTTATAATAATTAAAATTATTGATACAACTTAGCGATCGCAGCGCCTCACTTATTTTGTCCATATTTCTGGGACACTATTTTCTACAGCGATGGCTCTCATGTTCTCTAACTTCCATGGTTTGCCTTATAGGATATTTGCTATAGTTATTATACTTGGCTAGTTTATGCCAGCCATAAAATACTCTTAAGTGCAATGTAGAGCAGTAATAAATTTATGATTGATAACATAGTGTGAACATAAACCTGCCTGCCAAGTGTGGTGAACAAGGCTAATCCTCCTTACAGGCTAAAAGCAGATGACTTTACAGCGCAATGAAGAACAAGAAGGTGAAGATCCTTCTTACATTCAGACGATGTCTAATTCCATTTTGGCTTCTTCCTAGTTGGGTGTATTTGCCATAACCATAATGATGACTGATGCAAATAACTGTTCTGTGCCTCAGCCTGTAAAAGTCCAGTGCTAAATGTGGGCCTCTCCCATTCAAATTCAAAATAATTTACTTGTGAATAGAGTGAGTTAAGCGTTAGTAAAAGTTTAAAACCATTGTGGAGAGGATTTACTTTAGTCAGCATCACATGTGGATAGATGGTCACAGTACCAGACATTTTGGACTGATGCTGATACATAGCAGCATTACCATCTTGTTTACGCAAAGTATATTTTGCTTAAGAAACCTTGCCTTTACCCTTTGTGTACCCTATACTTTTGTGCACTTTAAAACGGATGAATTATAGGAAAAGGAAAAATATGAATTCTTGTACTAAAACATATTTATTGTCGTTGTTGATGCTTTCAGACATACAACAGCAAGGTCCCTATGTCCAACACCAATCCCAGCAGCCACAGTCCCTCAGAGGTCTAATGGAATTATAGCAAAGGCCTTGGATTATGTATTAGGTTGGTGACAAAAACTGAACAGTACATTTTATAAAGAACATGCAAGATCTTGGAAACAAAAAGTTCTAAAGGAATGGCATTGATGGAACCCACTGGTTTCTCTCTGTGCATAAAAGAACTTATCCTTTACTAAACCTGTAAATGAAATAAAAATCTCGCTTACTGATTGATTAATGTTTATTTCTATATGTTACATATAAAATCCAGTGATATTTTAAAATATGAATATGTTAAGTGCAACAAAGAATCGCAAAAACGGGTCTAAGATGACAGAGAACACAGCTACAAAGTGTCAATATACGTGTAGTATGAGGTAATTGGAAAATAAGTCTAGATGATTAAATCGTAGTTATAAAATAAATTTTATATAGATAGTTGCGACTCCTGGCTGTAATTATGTGTCAAATTTGTGCTAATCTAATGGTCTTCAATTGGATTATCTAATATTTATTTTTCAAATACCATTGACAAAATCCATTTTTTAAACACATGTTTACTTGTAAAATCAAATGCATGTTTTTAGACATTTAAATAAAATATATAAGAAAGCTTACTTTTATCAAGTGTGAATATATGATACAAAAAAAAAATACATTCCACACAGGCACAGGTACTTTTTTATCATGTTTTAATTAAAATGGGATTTCGAATTTTGTTTTGTTTTATAATTACATTGATTTGTCTACTTTCTTAAAACAATATGTCACTTTGTAAGAGTTGCAATTCTTAGATAAATTATAAAGCATCACAATATGACCGTTTTTTCTTTCTTTTAGTTAATAAGATAATAACAAATTATTAGTAGTACATAGAATGTACAAGTCATTTTGTAACTTTATCTGTATTTGCATAATACAAATTGATTAATGTGTGGAAGGTTATCATATGTGTAAAAATTCCAAAAGAAAAAAAAGAGACCTTTAACTTATTTTAATATGTCCCAGTTTTATCAACATTTTTCTACATTTATAAAACAATCTAAAACAAACAAAGATGATAACTTTATGATTAATTTATAATTAAGACTATCAAAAGATCCAAAAGCAATAAAGTTGTTATCAGGAAGATGCTACTGACCATCTGCTGTTTCTGAAAAATATCTCACCGTATGCTTCCATACAATTATACTAGAGCATCATGGCAGTAATGGAAAATAATAGGAAAAACTTGATTCATTTGTTCCAAAGTATGGATGGGACTAAACAACAATGTGGAGCTTGAATAAATTTATTTTCCATTTATAATGAAAGAATATGCCCAGACCATGATGCAATTCAAACCTTTTGGCTAACAGTACTAATTTTACCAAATACTACAGTATCCTATAGTTATTACTATTAAAATGATGAACCTTCTATAAATCTAATTTAACAGATTTTATCATGTTGATTTTAATTTATTTTTAACACACAATATTTCAAGTGTGTGGTGCATGGCGTTCCATGGTCCATAAAATTAGGTTTTATTCAATGTACGCGTGAATCTAAGAATGATAAAGGTTACTCCTTCTTAACTAATACTAATTTAAACGACGATTCAACCACAAACAAAACACAACATAGAATTCACAAAATTATTTGTACACAAACACAGCATGAATTTCACTTCAAATCAAGGTCAGGGGTCACATGACACTATTCCTTTGTATTAATTTTCTATTTATATAATTTAACACTCCTATTTATATTAGCTTAATTTATCATTCACTTAGGCTGCTCTATAGTCGCATTTGCTAGATCGGTCATTTTTGGGTACTTGACATTGTGCTTATCGAGCTCGCTTTGTGACCACAAGATCATCCGGAGAAGGCTGCACAGTTTAGGGTTAGTGTACTCTTGGTTTTCCATTTTTAATATTGCAGCGTTAAGTTCACTGGCGATCTGTGGATTTAGAAGTTAGAATTAGTATATATATACTTTACTGTCATCATCAGTTATAGGTTTTTAAACTTTATCAGTCTTTTGCATCAAATGCTGGAAATAGGCTGAATACATAGTTCTTTAAGATTCCACAATTAACAAACTTTATTATGTTCATCAAGCGAGTTGATGAGAGCATGTTTGTTTGGTTGAATTTTCTGTTACTAAGTTTTCCTTGGCAGGTGTAATTGCAACACTTCGGCTTTTGATAGCAGACATCTCGCACTTAATGCCACTCTCTCAGTGATCTATATATTTTCCATTCCACATAATCATACCGTCAGGAGGGCTGGAGAGTCACAATATCTTGTATGTACCATAATTACATTTTGTGATACACATGGGATAAAATATAATGATAGATCCTCTAACGTTGCCACCATGTTAAGATAAATAAATGATAAAATTATAATATACTTATTTAAACTAATAGTAATAATCTGCTGAAACTTCTGCTAACCAGTTATATTGAGGTTGGTTATTCTAATGGAATGGTCATACAGAATATGGAATGTCGAATCTCTGGAGGAAGTTTTTCGAACCTTAACCTCATATTTGCACAGTTGAACTTGGCTGGTACACACATGTATATGGAAGAGAAACAACACCTAGGGAAAAAACCTGTTATATTGATGAGAAAGTAACTATTTATATTGATAGCATTGCAAGGATGCTGAAGGTAGCAAATAATGACCTTAGGATGTGTGATGTTGGGATAATGGTTCCTCACCCTCAAGATCCTATGCTTCGACCTTACTGTCAGGCTGTGTGTAAGAGTCTGCTATAAGTCTGGTAATTCTAAAAGCAGAGGGAGATCAACATGAGAAATAAAGTAGACAGGAGTGTGACCTTCTGGCTGTGCGCGGGCAGCAGCAGGTCGGCGAAGGGCGAGGCGTGCGGGTCGGGGAAGGCGAGCAGCGCCAGCGAGCGCTCGAGCTCGGCGAGCGCAGCGCGGTCGCTGGCGCCGGCCTCCGCCAGGGCGGCGCTCGCAAACGACAGCGCCTCCTCGGCGCGCCCCGCGCGGATCAGCTCCAGTAGCTGCAGTTGCTGCACATCACACACATAATGACTTACAAGAACAAAACTATTAATAATAAAAATTATAGTAAGAATATCCACTACCCCATATCGTCCCATGGGTGTTGTATGAGTCGACAGAGGGAAACTAATACAAAAAATGAAAATAATAAAAACTTCAGATGCCAACCAAATGCTTGCAACTAAAGCAAATACCTATGGCAGAAGCCTATGTTCAGCAGTGGACTTTAATAGGATGTAACGGTAATGGTAAGGTTATATATATTTTATAAACACTAGAAACAAACCACCTTGTGACTACAGCTCCAGCAGCATTAGTTGCTGCACATCAGTCTCACATAATTATTGTCACAAAAACAAAAGAATTTAAAACAAAAAGTTATGGTTAGTTAACCTTAAAAACCTTAAGGTTTATTAACCCTGAAAACACCATGTATACATAGTGTTACTTTAAAGGGTTATATCATGTACTATTATAAAATAATTGTCCCCAGTAACTATTATACTATTCTGGTAAAATTCGAAATAAAAAATAAATAGGATAATTTTTTTGATATTCCCAACTTTAAGCTTTATTTTCATCCTTTATTTTTAATTTGAAGAATTTTGTTTTAGCAAAATTAAACTTTGAATATTTTGAGTTTTTCGCGAATATTTTATGTTCGAAGAGCTGCAGTAGCTTTTCAATAGTAACTGTTTTTTTTTAGTGTCTCGTACGGTCGTAAAAATGAAAGTGACATTTAATGCCCAGACAGGTGGGACGAGAATCACTTGTGCGGCTTGGACAATTCAGTGGTTAGTATAATCACAGGCTGTGATAAATTTAATTTTTGTGTTTAGTATGTGGTAGAGCCACACTACAGCTCTATTATAGTTGTAGTACGAATGGGTCTCACTAAATAATAAACATAAACATTTATTTCTCCCACTTTTTACATAGTTACAATTGTTTCAGTAATAGCTTAAGAGTTTTGAGTAGCTGTGGGAGACAGGAGCCCAAACTAGGTTACCCAGTGCTATGGGTCTCCTGGCTCCCCAGCCATGATACATAAATACCAGCATAATGCTGCTGTGTTATGTATAGTGAGTGTAGAGAACTAGAGACCCTTTTTACTGAAATGGAGGCATTCCATCTTAGTCCTAAGGGACGACAACGCATTTGCATTTTGTTTTTTGATCCATATTTATGGATGTCTATGGACTCCAATAAAACACACATGCTTGAATTGGAAAGAGCTCAACGAATGATTTTAAAAGTTGCACTTTATAAACCAAAATCTTTCTCAACAACCAGTTTATTCAATGAAGCTAACGTGCTTACAGTACGAAAATTATACATATTGTATTCAATTTTAAAAAAACACACTTGCACTGTGTATACACCCAATTTACTACAAACTAGGAGAAGAAATTATGAGGTATGTGAAACGATACAAGCAAAATCTACTTTCGCCCAAAAGTTTTATGGGTACAGAATAGGCAGGTTATATAATAAGGTTAATAAAAAACATTCAATTTTTCAACTAACAAAATATAAATGTAAGAAAAAATTAAAAGATTGGCTTATGAAACTAGATTACGAAGAAACAGAGAATTTACTGTAAAAGCGGAATAGTGAGAAACACACTCACACACACACACACGCACACGTATATTTGTATGTTTGTATATGTATATATATGTATGTATTTATATATGTGTATATATATTTATATAAAATTTTGATTATATACTTTTATTATTATCATTTAAAACATATTGCATATTATATTTATTCTATATGACTTTAATTGTAAATTACACTTTGGAAATCTCATATCCGATCTCCACATGCAACGCTCAATTCATGTCTAAGAACAGTATAATCGATAAGTATGTAATAAGGCCAAGAGGGGGGAGCCAGGAGACCCATAGCACAGGGTAACCTAGTTTGGGCTCCTGTCTCCCACTACTACTCAAAAACTCTTTAACTATTTATGAAACTATTGTAATTATGTAAAAAGTGGGAGAAATAAATGTTTAAATGTTTAAATGTCTATGGACTGTGTGCT